CACACACACACACACACAAAGAAACACATACACATAGAATTCTCTCATGTCCATCATATATTGAAAAGATTCACAAAATATAGTATAATGATACAGTGGAACACTATTGATACATAGAACAATATGAATAAATTTCCAATGAATTATATTAAGAGAAACAAGACAAGAGGCTGCAACCTGCATGGATATGCATTGATATGACATCCTTGAAAATGAAGAAGTATGTTTTCAAGTAGAACAGTGTTTGAGAAAGAATTGGAATTTGGGGTGGTTGACTACCAATGGATAAAGGACCATTTTGGGCTCAAAGGAATAGTTCTATATTTTGCTTTTAGTGGTTTTTATATGATTTCATCCACTTATTGAAACACTTCAGAATGCCCATTAACATGAGTGACATTTAGTTTTTAAGAGTGGCAGTGACAAACAGAAAGCAGGACAGTGAAGTTTCTAATGTCAAGGAGATATTTCTCTGACAAAGAGATTTAAGACTATTTTAGGCCATGGCTTTGAATTAGTAAAGAGTAGGACATTGAAGGTTACATACCTTAAAATACAGTTATTTTGAAAATATATTTTAAACTTATAAATAATTACCCTGCTGTGTTACAAATAGAGGCAATATGTAGTTATAATCTTTTGTAGTGTTTTGCAAGGTTGATTTAGCTCCTGAAGCTGAATGTTCAATGTATGTTAAATAGTAAGATTATTAATGAATTCCACATTCTCTAATCCAAGTACTTACATGTACTTTTTCTAATGAATGGTCAGTCTTTCAAGGTCCTTGCTGAAAATTATGTGGCTGTTCATGTGGCTATTATGGTTCTTGTGGACTGGTGACACAGCTGTGAATTTTAATAACTAAACTATTTTTATTTCTTAAAGGTGATATTGGACCAAATGGGCAACCCGGGCCAAGAGGACCTCCGGGGCAGCCAGGAATTGGTGCTCAGGGACCACCAGGACCACCAGGAGTTCCTGGACTAATAGGTGAACCAGGTAAGAGAGGAGTAAATGTGTATTTTATGGCAGTCCTAATCACAGGTTGGTTAAGCTTATCAATAAAGAGAAGCCTATATAATAGTCTTCCAAAAAGTTGATTTAAGAGGTAAGCTATCTAGGTATATAATTTTGTAAAAACAAAACTGTATACATCACAGCATAACAGTCTAATCCATAATCTTTTTCCTTCTTTTTCATTCAAGATTGATCTAGTTCATAAAATGCAGTTTAATAATTACACTACATCAACATATAATTATTGAGTTAGACATAGTTTTGCAAGTTTCTGGTGTTGAGTTTTTCAGACCTGAATACCTGTGCAACAATAATAAACTTTTGTCTATGGGGTTGGTTAACATGTCTTACAGTTAGGTTTTATCAAAAATGTTGTATAAAATATATTACACACATTTTGATTTTCTTTCCTTCTTTAAAAAGAAATTGAGTTGATTTTTTTTCTTTTTGCCCCTAAACTAGCACTCTGATTTTCTATTATGTTTTATTGGATACTCAGAAAGTTTTTTTCAACAGAGGTTTTGCCTCCAAGAGAAACATATGTATCCTCTACAGTTGTGCAATAGTATACTAAGACTGTGGAATGTGAATCATTTTGAGATGTAAATTTTTTCATAAATATATGTTTCTGATGCATAATGATGTTATTTGAAGAATTAGTATTTCTTGGCCATTTGTATTTCTTCTGAGCAGTTTCTATTCATTTCAGTTGCCCAGTTTTTGATTAGATCTTTTATTCTGGGTCATCTAATTAATTTGAGTTCTTTATATATTCTAGATGTCAATCTTTTGTCTAAGGTGTAGTTGGCAAAAATTGTTTCCTGTTCGGTAGACTGTCACTTCACTCTGTGGATTGTTTCCTTTGTTGTGAGAAGCTTATGGGTAGACCTTTAATCTTTATGTCATCAGTTTTGCCAGCATCATTTGCTAACGAGGCTATCTTTACACTAGCATGTGTTTTGAGCTCTTTGGTTAAAGACTTGATGGCTAAATGAGTCTGGGGTTGTTCCTAAATCCATGTCATTGGTCCATGTGTCTGTTTTTGTGCTAGGACCATGCTATTATTATCACCATAGGTTATACAAGTCAAACTCTGAAATTGTAGTGCCTTCTGCTTTGTTTTTGTTGCTTGAGATTGTTTTTGCTATTTTACTTCTGTCCTGTCCTGTCCTGTCCTGTCCTGTCCTGTCCTGTCCTGTCCTGTCCTGTCCTGTCCTGTTCTGTTCTGTTCTGTTCTGTTCTGTTCTGTTCTGTTCTGTTCTGTTCCAGTATGAGGTTTTGGACTATCCTCTCTATTTCTGTGAGTAATGTTGTTTGTATTTTGATAGTGAGTACATTAAAGCTATATATCAGTTTTGATAGTATGACCATTTTAACAATGTTGTTTGTGGCTGTCAGGAAATAGGGGATTGTCTGTCTGTCTGTCTTGCTTTCTTTCTTCTCTCTCTCTCTCTCTCTCTCTCTCTCTCTCTCTCTCTCTCTCTCTCTCTCTATCTCTTTCTTCTTTCTTTCTTTTCTTCCTTTTTGTACTGGAGATTCAACTGAGGACCTTGGACCTGCCAGGTAGGCACTTAAGCCTCTGAGCTAATTCCCTGGCCCTCCATTTTTCTAATGAATTCTTTTATCTCCTTTTGCAGGATACTGTAGTTTTGTTGTAGAGGTCTTTTACTTCCTTGCTTAGACTACATCTTGGTGTTTGCTTTTTCTTTTTGTTATTGTGAATAGATTTGGTTTTGAAATTACATTTTCAGAGATTTCATTATTGATATAGAGCAACACTGTTGATTTTTGTGTTTTATTTTGTATCTTTCCATAATTCTGAATTTGATTATTAATTCTAGAAGTCTTTTAATGCACTTTTTCATTCTTCTATTTAATCTATCCCCTCATCTATAAATAGTGATAAATTTACTTCTTTTTCTGTACACATCCTTCTTACTTCTTTCTCTTGCCTGATTGCACTAGATAATGTTTAAAGTGCTGTATTGAAGAGAACTGGTGATAGTGGACATCCTTGTCTTGCTCCTAATTTTAAAAGAAAAGCTTTTAGTGTTTTCTCATTTAATATGATGTTAGCAGTAGGGTTGGCCTAAATGACTTTTATCATATTGGCATAGGCTCTTTGTATACCTATTTTCAGAGTTTTTTTGTCATAAATAGGTACTGATTTTATTGAAAGGCTCTTTCTGCATCAATTGATATAATGTTATTTTTTCTTGCTTCTCTTTAATATTTTACTATATTGATTTTTATACGTTGAACTATCCTATATTGATTTGTATATGCTAAACTACCCTTGTATCCCTGAGATGAACCCTACTTGGTCATGGTACCTGATCTTTTTGATGATCTGTTGCAATCACTTGGCCAGTTTCTTGCTTAAGATTATTGTATGCATGTTCATTAGTTTGGCCTGTAGTATTCTTCTTTAGCTGGGTACTTGTCTGGTTTTAGAATTAGAGTAATGTTGGCTCCATGAATGAGATTTTAAGTATTCATTGCCTTTTGATTCCATTATGGAGTTTGAGAAGTATTGGTGTTACAGCCTTTATAAAGGGCTTATACAATGGAGTGGGGATCCCATGAGGTCCTAGGTTTTTCTTAGTTGGAAGTTTTTGGTACTGCACCAGTTTCCTTTGCTGTCATTGGACTAAACAGCACTTTTATATCTTCGTTCAGTTTTGCTAAGTCCTGTGTCTAAGAATTTATTCAGTGTTTTCAGATTCTCCAATTCCTTTGGGATAATTTTTCATAGTAGATGCTAGTTATATGGATTTCAGAAGTAGTCTTTGTAATATAATCTTTTCTCATTTCTGGTTGAGTTAATGTGACTATTTTCTCCTTTTGGTAAATTTGTTTTCTTTTTTTTTTCCTAACTGAGAAAAAGCAGCTTTAATAACACACACACACACACACACACACACACACACAGACACACACACACGTTCATATGTTTATATGTTTTGTTTTCTTTTGCAAAGAGCTGGCTCTTTGATTAATTGATTATTTGGAGTTTTTTCTTTAGTGTAAATTTCATTAATTATCTGTTCTGATTTTTTTAAATATAAATTTAAGATAGGATCTACAGGGTGTACAGGGTCTCACAAAGTAGATCGGACTCATAGTGATTCTCCTGTTTACACCCTCTCAAGTGCTGGGATTACAGGCCTGTGCCACCAGGCCCAGGCTCAATTGCCTTCTCAGCGAGGCCTTGGGGCAGGGCCAACACAGCATGCCGGGTATCGAACCCCTGCCGCTGCACTCTGCCTAAGGAGGACGTTTAGTCTACTGAGCTATCTGGCCAGCCCTTGTTCTGATCTTTTTATTTTCCCTCCCTGTACTAGATTTGTTTTCTACTGTTATTGTTGTTCTAGTTTCTTTAGGTATATCATTAGGTTGTTTATTTGCATTTATTTTGTTTTGCTAATCTATTTGTAGCAATAAATTTTCCTCTAAGGGCAGTTTTTTTTCTGTAGGTTCTTATTAGTTGTACTCACATTATTGTTTGATTTGAAGAATTCTTTAATTCTTCCTTTCATTTCTTCTGTGATCCACTGAATAGTCTGGGTCGAGTTATGCAATGTCCAGGTGTTAATGAAATTTCTGTAGTTTCTTTTGTAATTGATTTCTAGATTTTAGTGCACTGTGATCTGATAGGATATATGGGATGATTTTCACTATTTCATATTTATTTAAGTTGGCTTTATGTACTAGTATTTGGCCTGTTTTGGAGAAAGTTCGATATGCTGCTGAGAAGAATGTGTATTCTGTTGTATAGAACACATTGTAGATACAAGATAATTCTATTTGAACTTGTTCAGCTCTGATATCTCTTTGTTACTTTTTGCTTAGTTAGTCTAGCTTTCTGTAAAAGTAGGGTATAGAAGTCACCCGCTATGATTTTGTTGATGTTTATTTGATCTTTTATGTCTAGAAGTCTTTGCTTTATGAAGTTAGGTGCCCTAGTATTCCATGCATATATATTCACAATGTTTAACCCTTCTTGTTGAATTGTTCCTTAACTGGTATTCAGTGATTTTCTTTGGCTCTTCTGGTCAGTTCTAGCTTGCAGTTTATTTTGTCTGAGAAAAAATTATTACTTCTGCTTGATCTCAGGATCCTAGAACATGGAATATTGTTTACCATTCTTTGATTTTTTTTTTTAGCCTATGAATTTCTTTTTTTTTTTCTGTATTTAGGGTAGGGCCTAGAGGGTGTACAGGGTCTTACTACTTAGATCAGACTCATAGTGATCCTTCTGTTTTCAGCCTCCCAAGTGCTGGGATTACAAGCGCGCACCACCACGTTCAGTCTCCATCGCCATCTAACCATGCCCAGCAGGTGGGGCCGGCATGGCATGCTGGGTATTGAACCCCAGTCTCTGCGCTCTGCCTAAGCAAGCACTTTAGTCCCCTGAGCTTGAGGCCGGCCTTGAATGTCTTTTTTGGATCGTGAGTTTTTTTTTTTTTTTTTTTTAATGTAACACACTGTTAGATTCTGTGTTTTGATCCACTGTGGAGTCTGTGTCTTTTAACTGGGGAGTTGAGGCCATTTACTTTGAGAGTTGCTACTAAATCATATTAAATTGTACCTCTCACTATGTACCTTTTCTGTTCTTGATTGCTCAATTTTTACTTTTTTGTTTAGTGAGTTCCTGCTGGCTTAAAAGCCCAGTGGTACATGCATGAGGCTCACATCAGGCAGCTTGAATCACCAGTGGTCAAATAATTAACATCAGACAATGGAATTCAAATCAGAGCTGTCTGCCAGGGAAGAATAAGATTTATGGGCCCCATAATGAATGGGCCCCACTTTTTTATTTGTTCATCACATCTGACATTTAACTTTGTTAGCTCCATTGTCTTTATCTAGGGTATTCCAGAGTATTTTTGGAGCCCTTGCTTAGTGTTCATGTATCACTGAAAGTGTTCATTGTCATAGAATATCCTTGTTTCTTCTGTAATTTTGACACATGATCTAGC